TCATCATTACAGTCTCTTAGCACTGCATTGTCACCTATTTACATACAATGAAATGGTCAAAGCTATACATATGCTCCACAGGGACTTGTGACACTCAGAAAGAAGTGGATATTTTAAAAATAGATTGTGGACAGTCCATGTTCTTTGAATATACACCCACAGCGTCTGAACAGCGAGACAAAGTTGAGTATCCAGCAGTCAAATATTTTTGCCTAAAATCTGGGGAGCAGGGCAACAGGTGTTTTTGTACCCCTTCTCTGCACAAGACAACCCCCAGGTTTCTTCCAAGAAATAAAAGCACAGCTTACTTTTACCCCACTCCTCTTAAACAGGCAGACTTTGGTTGCTTTCTTTCTGTGGCATAGCACCTTCTTGGATCCATTTCCTGCTCCTGATGCAACAGCTCTCACGATACACCCTCTAACCGCCCCAGCCTCCTCCTGGAGACTCCCCAGAACCCTCTACTTTCCACAAAACCCTCCCAGATTTAGCCCCAAGACCTTGCTTTTGGAACAGTCCACCCCCTAGCCCCCATCCCACTCCCTCCTCAACCAGGTCTTTTGTCTTCCCTAAAATGCACTTCATTCTCTGTCACTCCCAGTTCCCTATTCTGTCTTCCCCTGAATTTCTCAGTCTCTTCTCCCCCAGCCCCTTCACAGCCATTTCCTCTCCTGGCCACCAAATCCCTCCATCTTTTCTTCCTTTCCCCAACATGCCTAGGCTGTCTTCCCTCCATCATTCTTTCCAGTTCTCCGTTTCTTCACAACCCTAGCCTGTCTTCTCCTCAAACCTCCTTATTTTCCCTTTTCCCAGCTCCTCACACCCCAATATCTTTTACTTTCAGCTCCTGTGCTCTCTCTCGCCCATCTGTCCTTCCTCTCATCCTAGCCCTCCTCAACCACCCTAAATCCCTCACCCTGGATCTTCTCATCTCCCTTTCTCCCGGCATCCCTTGTCCCTGATATCCATCCCCCCCAGGTGCCACCCCCTCCCAGACAGACTTCCTGCCCTTGGGTACTCCTGCTCTCTAAATATCCCCCTGCAGAGGACAATGTCCCTTATAGGGCTCTGTCTCCACCCAAGACCCCTATCCTTCTAACATGTCTCCCCCCGCTCCTCCCCCTGACTCCATTGGAATTATATTTATGCTCCCATCCCCAAGCACTCCTCTCCCGCTCCAGCCTAGTCTCCTGGTTCTCCTCTCTGCACCACCTGTATCTGCTGGCCCAGCAGTCAGATTCCCCATAGCTGTTCTCCTTGTGCCATCTCCCTGCACTTCCCTATTAGGAGATGCCATTGCTCCTTCCTGGGTCAGCCAGGCACTCAGCTGGCAGGAAAAAGGCTCAGGAAAGGAAGGAGCTGCAGCTATAGCTTGGGATATGACAGGTGCTATTGGTGGGGAGGACTATCGGCAGCCTCTTCTCACCCTTTGTGCTTAACAAACAGTAAAGAGATGGTGGTAAGAAAAGGGGAGGAATTATGCATTGAACAAGGTTGCATAAAACAACCTCAGATTCCTCTTCTGTGACAAATCAAGTATACGTGCCTTGTCGCAAAGTAAGGACAAGACTGCTGCTCATTTGTTAGCTGCCTAACTGTAAAAGGAGCAAAACAAGAAAAAAAGACAACAGTCATTTAAATAAAATCAACAATTATTTGCACTACAGCAACTGTAGTTCTTGAGATGCGTTATCCAGACATCCTCCATGCTTGAGCAATGAAGACAAAACCAGCATTTTTGTATTACACATCTAATTACTGCTTTATGCAACTAGTGGCTGCTAAGCAAGTGCTAACTAATGAATGCCACAAATACATATATAACTAAAAGACAGAAGGGGCATTGTGAAGGAAGATGAAACCCAAAATTGAGTAGGATATTTAAAACGTCCATTCAAATTTCCTAGTTCAGTTACTCCAGGCTAGAATGAAATGACCACTACAGCTATATTAGTACAGGTAAGCTGACAATTTATACATGCTATCAGACAGACTCCTAGAAGTGAATAAGATAAAAGCAGGCTATTTTCAGACATTACCGGAGAGAGACTAAAAATGGAAGTTGCTAGTAGCAGTCTAGCTGCAGGTACAAAAAAAATGGGGAAAATGGCAGAGAGGAGGAAAAAAACACTGAAATAGGGATCTTAGTTTTAGAAATGATTTCTCTCAAGAACTATTTCTACATAAATTCTCTGCCAAAATAAAACAGGCTGTGGACTCAGGTAATAAATATTGGGGGAAACAAGGGAGAATCACAGGAAATTAGGGCTAGAAGGGGACCTCAGGAGGTCATCAACAGAACTGTGCAAAACAGCACTGTTTTGTTTCAACTTAAGTTTTGCCGGGGACAGAGTTTCGTTTAGTTTCATAACCACTTTTCCATTCCAGTTTGTCAAAACAGTTTCACTGTTCTGATGCTGGCTTCAATGTTTTACCCATAGGCTAGAATGGGGAATCATGAAAATGCCTATAACTTTGTCACATTATGTTTGATTTGGATGAAAATTTCAGGGATGGTAGCCCCTTCTGAGGACATGAAGCCTGCCAAGTTTCAAGCACATGGGTGCAGGGGTTTCTGGGAAACTGCACCTCAAACTGTTCAAAGCAAAACTCTTTTTATCACTTCCTGGCAGTGGCAGCCTGCTGAAACCCCGTGCACAGATCAGGGGCCCGTGCCCCCCAGGAAGAGCTGGGGAAATGACCAGAGAGCTGGGGAATCAAACAGGGTGCTAGATGTCAACATCAGAGCAGTCCTTCCCCCCTCTTTCCCCTCCCTCTCCTTAGTTTCTGTTTAGCTGCAAGCAAGCCCAGCTTTGTAACTTTTGAAACGTTTCAAGTGCCTTTGTTTCATTTCAAAGTTGTTTCAAAAAGCCTTTTGTTTCATTTTGATTTTGCTGTTTTGAGCTGAAAACGTGTTGAAACAGCTTCGAAATAAAACACCTGACAAAGATTCACACAGCCCTATCATCTAGTCCAATAGCCTACTCAAAGCAGGACTTCCCCAATTATATCATCCCAACCGAGGCTTTGTCTACCTGGGTCTTAAAAACCTCTAAGGATGGAGAAGATTCCACCACCTCTCTGGGTAACCCATTCCAGTACTTTATTACCTTCCTTGTGAGAAAGGTTTTCCTAAAATCTAACCTAAACTTATCTTGCTGCAACTTGAGAACATTGCTTCTTTTTCTGTCTTCTGCCACCAGTGAGAACAGCCTAGCTCAGAGGTGGGCAAAATGGCAGATCTGGCTGGTCTCCATTTCCCAGCAGCTCCTGCCTGCATTGCTGTGGCCGGTTTCCATGGAGACCCCAGGAGGGGCAGTATCATGAAGTTTCCATGGAGACCAGCCCAAGCAGTGCTGGCTGGGTGCACAACTGGGAAGGGAGCTGATCCAGAGCTGGGGCTGGGATTTTGTGGCAGTGAAGGTGGGGGTCCAGAGCTGGGACAGAGCCATGATCTGCTGCGTACTTGCTCTGCGGTCCTGAGCCAGCATGTGTGGGCAGCAGATCGCAGCTCTGCCCCAGTTCCAGACCACTCTGTCACCACTGCAAAATCCCAGCCCCAGAGCAGTTCCCTGCCTGACTGCATGTCCTGCTAGCCTCCACGGAAACCTTGGCCCCACGCTGTCATGGCCCTGCCCTTCCTGGGGTCTCCATGGAAACCAGCTGCAGAGACATAGGCAGGAGCTGCTGGGAAATGAAGTCTGCCATGGGCTGAATCTGGCCCATGGGACAGACGTTGCCCACCCCTGGTCTAGCTCCATCCTCTTTAGAACCCCCCTTCAGGTATTTGGAGGCTGCTATCAAATCCCCTCTCAGTCTTCTCTTCTCCACTAAATAAGCACCGTTCTCTCAGCCTCTCTGCATAAGTCCTGTACCCAACCCCAATTTCACTGTCCTCATTGGACTCTCTCCTATTTGTCCACATCCCTTCTGTAGTGGGAGGCCCAAAGCTAGACAGTACTCCAGATGTGGCCTCACCAGTGCTGAATAGAGTGAAAGAATCACTTCCCTCCCTCTGCTGACAATGCTCCTACTAATTCACCTCAGCATGCCATTAGCCTTCTTCACAAAAAGGGCGCACAGTTGGCTTATATTCCGCTTATTGTCCACTGTAACCCCCAGGACCCTTTTTGCAGAGCTGCTGTTTAGTGGCAGGGCACAGTAATTTTTTCACAATTCTGAGCATCAAGCCACTGCAACCTGAGAGCACAAAATGTTCTCCTGCAAGACAGTTCATTCTGGGATAGGTCTGTCCTGTTTCTTTAGGCTGCATAGCTCCCTTTAATTCTCCCAGAGGCATACATGCTACTCATAATGCCCAAGTAGACATAACTACTTTGCCTTAGTATAGAAAACCTGACTGACTTCGGTGTCCTCAAATTGCAGAAGGGGCTAAAGCACTTCAAGGGTTTGGAGCAAAATGGACATTCAGACAGCAGT